TCTGTCAGAAAGCATTGGGATTAAAGGTTCCACGGCCAGCCGGGCTAGCCGAGGATTAGAGGCGACTTGAAGGGATGGTTTGCAAAGCGCAGACGAGAGGCAGTCAACTACACCTCTGATTCTGCTCAGGGCTGTTTTGACTGCCAGTCAAGGATTTCAGAGCACTGAGAAAAAGCAAGGTGTTGGACAGCTTTGCCGCCAGCTCTAACTGGATTGGAAGGATCGGGCTGTGGCTGACCTTTGGGTTACTTTAACAAGAAAAGCGTCAGCCCTTGCAGTCCTCTCCACTTCATCCCCGTACTCACTGGAGGTCTTGCAGGTTTCCATCAGCAAGTGCTAGAGCAACAACTTAAGTGTATGTGACAAGGAGCAGCATGATACGTTCCACTATAAAGTGATATGAAATATCTGCTGCGATGGAAATATTAATTAATTAACTGGTGTGACGTGTAACCTGTGGTGTTGACAATTTGTTAAACATCTGTCCTAAAAAAGTATTAAAAGTCTATTTGAAAGGTTATATGGTCAAATCTATGTTGGGCAGAAACCTAGCAAAATAACTAATATACAAACATACTTTTTTATCCTGCACATGGAAACAATGTGGTTGTATAGTTTGTGTGTACTGATACTCTTGAAAGTCCTCAAAAGTAATTAAACCAAACCACTGGAAATGTACTACTTTAAAACGCTGCTGATTCAGTGCGTTACCGAACTGTGCGAATGATATTGTGAAATGATTTAGTTCATTTTGCCAACCCGTTTAGCCAATTCATTGAAAGGAATCGATTTAAAAGAATGATTCATAAACGAACAACGCTAGGTTTTTTTAGTACTGTACTAATGCACACTGTACATTGCAGTGGAAAGAAATGTCAGCTAAATGACAAACTAGCTGGTAACACTTTATTTGAAGGGGTGTGCATAAGACTGACATGACACTGTCATAAACATGACATAACACCTGTCATGAACACGAAGGAGTCTTTATGAATGTTTATGACTGTTGTCATTAAGTGTCATTCGGTAAATTACGACACTTTTAATGCAAAGTTGACATTGTTTAAAATGTCTTTGTTATGACAACTTGACATTAACCAAGAAAAATTGTCTGTTATGACAACTTGACATTAACCAAGACAAAAATGTCTTTGTCATGACAACTTGACATTAACCGAAAAATCATAACCTGTCAACCTGTCACAAATATGTCATAACAGGTCTAATTATCAAACTTAAAGAAGTTATATTAGCTTTGTGTTAACATTACATTACCCTGTCATATGTTATGGTTGGTTTTAACTTTGGTTGTAATGAGACCATTATAACTGTGACATGAATATTTTACTTGTCCTCAAGTAAAGTGGAACACATTGTACTAGTAATGATTTCTTGGTTAATGTCAAGTTGTCATAATCAAGACATTTTTGTCTTGGTTAATGTCAAGTTGTCATAACAAAGACATTTTAAACAATGTCAACTTTGCATTAAAAGTGTCATAATTTACCGAATGACACTTAATGACAACAGTCATAAACATTCATAAAGACTCCTTCATGTTCATGACAGGTGTTATGTCATGTTTATGACAGTGTCATGTCAGTCTTTAACACAGTCTCATCCCAAGAAGTCATATAACTGACGTCTTGGGACGTCTTTTGACCATACATCAACATCCATGGGCCGTCATACAACTGACGCTTTACCTGTTGTTCAACATACGCTTTACCGGATGTTGACGTATGGTCAAAAGACGTCAAATTGGTAACACTTTATTTGAAGGGGTGCAGCGCAGTCTCATCCCAAGACGTCATCTTACTGACGTCTTGGGATGAGACTGCGCTGCACACCCCTTCAAATAAAGTGTTACCAATTAGCTAAACTAACTAATTTAAACCACGTCCAAGCGAGTCTTCCAAGCGCAACCAGCAGACCTAACCTGTTATATAGCACAGGGGGAAGAAATGAAGAAGATGAGCAATTGGCAAGCGGACAGTAAATATCTGTTAAACAACTCTGGGCAGGATTGAGATAGAGGCCAAAACAGAGGGCAGGGAGGCATTGCTGACCCAACGCACACGCCAGATGGCTGTAGCAGCACAGACTCTCTCTGCAGGGTTCTGGCCAATCCTGTGAGAGTTAGATGTATCATGAAAACTGATCTACACACAAGCCAAGGCGTGGAGTTCTGTTCGAGACCAATCTGTGAAACTTTCTTCACTGGCAGTCAGAGTGATAAAGCGCAGGTGAGAAAAGAACAAGGCGTGCACATCTGGACCACCACAGGTGGCCACGCCCCAGGCCCAAAATGTTGTGATAGCAACACACGTGCTCTTGTGGTTTTCAGAGCGATGGATGGGCTCGGGTGCATGCTGCACGCTTAGCTCTTGAAGTGAGCTTGAAGTGTGAAAGTTGATTAGCAGCGAATACAACAGTCGCTCGTCTTGCTGACAGAAACAGAGTTTGTCCTCCTTGAGAGGATTTAGGCAAGCTTTTATTTGATCTCAGAGTCAGCCGCGGCTCAACGAGCCATTTGTTTAACAGAAAGATGCACTGCTATGTGTGTCAATGTGTCAGCTCTAAGCACACAAAACTGGCAACTGTTGATCTGGAATTCCCGTCGGTGTCAATCTTTCCGAGGATGAAACAAAACCGTCTGACTGAACTGCCTCTCCAAGACGGTTTTATTTCATACTTTGACTTATCAGGCACAGAGTACTCAAAATCTACCTCTGAAATAGCAGTTGATTCTGTCTGATGTCTCAATTGCAATTTGCCCTGACACGACATGGTTAAACCAGCTGCCACGACTGGACGCATTGCTATTTAATTAGCAAACAAGTGCGGGAACTTCCAAAAAGTGATTGCATTATAAAAAAAACAAATAAAAAAACAACATTTGAGTTGATCTTGCTAGGACCCGACAGATTGTTTCTCACTGAGAGCCCACGCTACGTGCAAAATGCGTAGTGCTCGGTAAAAAAGCTGCAGCGGTGCAGATAATTGATTTGCTTATTTTGTTTTGTGCCGATAGGCCTCCATTTATTCCTCAGTGAAATTGTCGAAGGCAATTGGAGGGCAGATGGCATGCATACCGATCACCTCCGCGCGCTTTTAAACTCACAAAGCGAGCGTCCTACCCTGAACCGCACATATATCAATGCAGATGAAAATGCCCTGCTGGACTAATTATCACAGAATAATTAAAGATATGACCTGCATGGAGAGGGAAGAGGAGGGCTGCGGGAGGAAGGGGGGGTCTTGTCTGAAGGTGGTCCTGATGATGGAGTAAACAAAGGCTCAGCGTGCAGCCCCCAGGAGATGATTATGTATCAAAAGGTCAGAGCTTATACGAGAGCGACGAGGGAGGGGGAAGGGAGAGCGAGTGAGGCGAAGACAGAGAGCCAGAGATGGTCGAAACACAATTTCAAGGCCCTTTCAGAGTATTCAAATGTTTTGAGTGCAGCCACTTGACCATGAGGCCTGCAATGGCCTCGTCAAGAGCTTTTAGTCGCCACAACACATTTGTTGCACTAATAGCCTTGAGCAAACAATCGCAAGACACCCTTTCGACTTCAGATGGTTTCGCCTCTTTTGACCCTTTAAAGGGATACTCCGCTTTTTTTGGAAATAGGCTCCCCCAGAGTTAAACAGTTTTACCGTTTTTGAATGTATTCAGCCGATTTTCTGATATTTAGAAGAATATCAGTAACCAGACAGTTTCTGGTCTCATAGTAGGAAAAAATATATATACTATGGAAGTCAATGAGATTCAAAAACGGTAAAACCCAACTGTTCAACTCTGGGGGAGTTGTAAAATGAGCCTATTTCCAAAAAAAAAAGTGGAGTATCCCTTTAACTAGAACTACAGCTAATCCGTCAACCCATCTGAAAAGCCAAGGGTCTCCCGAAGAGAGGTTTGGGGATGGCACTGCCCAAGTTTTTAAGGTATTCAGCATTTCTGTCTTCAAAAGGGATAAAAACAAAGAGCGCTCGCTCACCCTGACTGAAAAATCCAGTTAGTCCAGGCCATCCAGGCTAGTTTGCAGGTCCCCGGTATGGTGGAACAGCTACACCAGCTCAGATTTGCTTGAGAACAGCATGACTATGCTGGTCCAGCAGCTAGACAACCACTATACCAGCTCTTACTCCAAAAACAGCCTGGACCAACATGGAATTCATGATGGTTTATGCTGGATTTTTCAGCAGGAACACGCACACATGAACAGCATTCTCGTATCATATGGGTGAGCTGATAGCGCAGCTTCAAGCTCAGCCAAGTATGCAGAGTCTTTGGAGTGTGGGCTAATGCCTGTTTAGTCTAGATCCCGTTTGTCTACACAGAATTCTGGGTAGCATTTGACATTCAAGTCTCTGTCAGCTTATTTCTAACAATTGCTTTAAAGCAAACCAGCATTTGCCAGCACACGTATCAAGTGGGCAATACATCTCATAAAAATATAGATAGGTTGTAACGTGCATTTTGAACAAAGAGTTGCATTTGCACCAAAACGCTGAGTGCTTGATCCAGTTTTCTCCCTAAGGGTGTGTTTCACAAACACCCAAAGATAGATTAGTATTTTAAAGTGTCATTACAGTGAGACAGAGGGTACCTGGCTGTTGTTGATAGCAGCATAAGAGGGGAATGCATCATGATAAACGTCTCAAAGCTGATTACAGTTCAAATGGATTTGAAATGCTTGCCTGATACACAATACTTAAACAGCTCCACTATTGAGGCAGTCTACACAAGAAAAAGAGAGAGCACCAAAAAGTTGTCATTTAGTAAACTAGTGAAATTTCCATGGGTGATTTATTGTTTTTCTTCTTCTTTTTTTTTTTCAAGCCTGAAATTAGCTCTGTGGGTGGGAGAGGTAATCATAAAGAGGAAAACACCTGCACGGATACAGGTGTATGAAAGCTATTAACACAGAGAGAGGAAACAAGGGGAAGGAAGAGTAAACTCACTCTAACCATGACAAATTCATAACAATGTTCCGGACTGTTTTATAGAGAGTTTATTTAGGGCTTCTTATTGTCATTGGATACAACATTTGCCATGACTTAATAAAAAAATGCACATTCGAAGTTGAGTAAAATCACTAAATAAATGTTAATTTGGTGTGAAATGCAAATACACTTAAAACAATGTTGAATGTGCATCAGTAACAAAGAATGACATTACAATCATGATAATATAATATAATATAATATACCTTGAGTATGCAAGTAGTTCATTCACATGTCACCCCTGTGATATGTATATTAGTGATACATCTGTCGATTACATAATAATATAAGTAATACGTTTTGTTTCTGGGGCTGGGGAATTTTCATGAGCATTTCTAATAAGCCTCTAGTTATTTTCACAAACTCTGTAGCTAATATAACTAAAGCAGCAGCCAATTTGCATTTTGCCTCTATGTCTTCCATGCCTTCATACCACAGAGAATGAAAGAAGCAAGCTATGCATTTCAAAACAAGTGTTTCTAAACAGTTCCTTACATCACTATATTATTCATAAATAATACAAAAATTCTGAACCGAGAATATCTAAAATTGCCAGCCATTAAAATGGATTTCACATTAATCTTAAATGCATTCAGTTAAATTAAAGCTGTTTGGTTCAATATTAACAAACAACATATTCCTATGATAAGATCGGGGATATAGATCTTTATATGCCATGGACCTCATTGGCTTTCCCCAGCACAAGCCAGCTCAGACATTTGAGCGCATCATTAAGAAGTAATTAGTGGTTTTGAAAAGAACATTTTGTGTATGCGTGTCTTTATCGAGGAGAAAAAGATATTCAATCTGTGCTACAATCAGAACCAGCTGATGCTATGAGCCCAGCAGACACGATCATGTAATCTGTTACGCTGCTTCTACTTAGCTGTGTTTTGTCATTAGACTTGAAGCCCCTCCCCTTTTATAGGAGAGCCTGTTTCTGTGGACATTTTACCTCTGATCGCCGTCAGCTGAATGGCGAAAACTGTCCGACTAATGCCATCTCAAAATCAATCTGTGTGAACACCCCATGCAGTCCGGGGCTCCCACTGGTGCTCAGGACTAACAATAAAGAGCAGTAAATGCATTCCTATCAGCCAGGGTAGTGTACACTAAAACACTCCCCGAAGAGAGCAAAAATAAACGCCGTTCCCCACGAACCTCCCCTCGCACGCACACTCAGAGGATACAAAATAAACAAGTTGTGTGAAATGCAAAACGCCGCTCGCTGGATAGCACATGAAGCGGCGATTTGCCAATGGAGGTGGAGACGCTACACTGAGAGCAGGAGCTGTCTGTCTCCTGTTGCAGGAATCACACAAACCACAGTGAAAATGATTAGCTGTCTAGTTGCTACATAAACGGCCACAGTGCAAAGCCGGAAGGTTTTTGGGACCACTGGAGGTTATCTCCCCGAAGACAGTCGACAATGACTCTCCTCAACTACGCGTATTCTTAAGCAATAACAACGAGAGCCGTATTATCCACCCAAGAATACCCGTCACCGAAGAGAGCCTTAGAAAAAGGGGGCTTCGCCTGACTTTCAGCCATCACACAGTGGCATAGGCCAAAGCAGAGTTTTCTCTCTAGGGGAATTGATTGAAGATGCCCTTTACCACAAGCCAAGGCCCCCGTCAAAGGTTGCATCTGCAGACAGAAATGAACACACTTTGCATTTGTAGCAGGAGAGGGAGGATATTGCATGTAAAATGTGCTTCCCTTCCTGGGTTTTAACTAGTTATGTGGAGAGACAGATGGTGAGGGGGATCATCTTACCTGGGAGAGGGTGCTCACGGACCTCACATCCCGTCCTCGGACCAGCCTGGCCTCTGGGGGCGGAAGCGCTCGCAAACATCTAGGCCAAATCTGGGAACGACGTTAAAAAAGGTAGGAATTAAACAAAAGTCGATATATATATATACACGTGCACAGGCTTGATATATCCTCCACCAGAGGTTTATCGTCACTGCACATTAACAGTCAAACACTGTCACCTTCAAAGCCTCACATGCTCATCACACACATTCAGGGAGGGAGCAAGAGAGAGAGAGAGAGAGACAGAAAGAGGAGTCATACAGAAAATCCATTAGCAGCGGGAAGCAAATTACAGATCGTTTGGGGGGGAAAAAAGGGAATGCAATGATGGCTGTCAGAAACGGGGAACAATGACTGTTATTATGGCTTTCATTTTCCGAGGGGTGCAGCAGCTCCCAAATGGAAGTGGAAAAAGATGGACATCAGAATATGTATTTTTACAGCTTTGTGGAATTCATTCATTCACACTTCTGACTCACGTGGAACCACAAATTACCAGGAACAAAGAGAAAATCCAAAGATTCTCTGTGCTAGGTATGTATATGTTTTTACAACGGCTTTCGTGAAACATTTTTCACAGGCCATTAGAAAAAAAAAAGCATTTGAATGCAAATATTAAGAGAATGAGCACTGAACAAAGGTGATTCACCATGACAGTTAAAGAGTGTAAAAAGCCAACAACACAACATAATATATTCAAAAACATGGACCGTGGCTATCTTAACATGCTCACAGACACACCCATCCACTGATGCTTACAACATTTTGCTCAGTATTCACACAAAACAAGACACGTAGTAGAGAAACAACACATTGGAGACATTTGTGACAGCAGCACAACCACTGGTTCAGCACACCGGGCTTGTCAAAAAACAAACTCTTTTCTTATCTTGTTTGGACAGCCCTGTCAAAGCTAAAAGACCACCCTCCCATGCCCCCAAAGCATGCATACAGCCAGGTTCCCATGGCAAAACGTCTTCCTCTGGGCCAGGCGCAATTAAATGGCAAAAATACTTCACTCTCGTCTCCAGAAGCGTTTTCCTGCAGCAGGTGCACGAACGAGAAGTCACAGTGACTGTCCCAATCCTTTTGTGACTTTTCCCTCCATTTTGGGGATTTTGAGAACAACAAAACAACGAAACATGACGTGAGGTGGACAAAGAGGACAAACGAAAGAAAAGAGAAGACAAAACGTGGACAGAAGGGGACAAAAAAGCTTTTCTCTCTCTCTCTCTCGTGAAGCTCCTCTTCATTCCACTCACACATCATTACAGAGGCTCACTGACACAGGGCTCCTGCTGTCTGCCAGTGATTGCCATTTAATTGAAGGAGCAGGAATCCCATGAATATGTTAATACGGCAAACACAGTTGACAAATCCAGCAGAAAAATATCCACCGCCCCGATAGTAGCGCGATTACACAAATCTGCAGCACAGTGACAATCAGCTCACACAATACCCATGGCAACAAATCTTTCATTCCCCCACGATATTGTGACGAGTCACAAAAGGAACAAAAGGCAAAGTAGTGGCAGAAAAAAAACAACAGGAAAAAAAAAAAAAAAACAGGCAACAATCCTTACTCCACTGAAGCAGGCTTACCCTAGAGATCTTTACAGAGTGGCACCCGCTGAGCACAAAGCCGCCCATCCGTCCGCTGCCTCGAGCCGGCAGTGACGGGGAAGGCTGAGTGCCTCCGTTCTTTCAGGTTGTCGTGCCGTGGATCCGTCGTCGCCGTAAGACCATGTGCCCAAACGTGCAGGATCCCCCGAGGGAGTCGAATCCCTGCCTGCCCGAGGACACGCTTACCACCTCGCACGACAAGAGGAGAGAGGTCTGCCAGTTGTTGCGCGCAGCAAACTAAGTCACAGGAGGATGAGAGGAGCGAAGGAGTTACAGAGAGAGTGGGAGGGAAAGCAAGAGTGGGAGAGAGACAGACTGAGTGAGTATGTGGCTGTAAGGATAAGATACTGAGAGAGAGAGAGAGAGAGAGGGAGGAACACCTAAAATACCCAACCACAGCGCTCAGTGAGGAAAGATCCGTCTATCTTTCGATCTAAGGAGGGATGGACACTGAGAAAGAGAAGCCGAGAGAGAGGGTCTAATTAGATTTGAGCTCCAACGCAGTAAGCAAAGGCAGTGAGCCATGAATCTCAAGCATCTAATGGTGGATTAATTGAGGGAGATCTGATGCGCACTCCTCTCGGTCTAGTCTTCATGACATCTTATTGGACTGTGGCTCGGTCCTCTGGGACTGCTGTTACGACAGTTCAGGAAGCATCATTTCCACCAACACCGGCACTGCCATCTGTATGCATGACTTCACCGCTTCTCACAAACCCTTCAGTTCACTGTGAGAGACATCCACTGTAACGCAAAAATGAGAAACGTTTTTGTGTTCATATTTGAATGAAACTTCCTATATTGGGAGCTGAAAAACCTTGCAAATGTTCTATAGCTGAAGATCTAAATAATTTTCATGATAAATGTCAGTTTGTCACGACTGTTTAATCAACTAATATAACATAAGATATATGCAATCCAAATATGTACAACATGAATCAGATTTATCATATTCAATTATTGCAGGGCCCGTTTAGGCCACGCCATCACTATTTAAATGTTATTAAATATTGTGCAATATTTGTGTTTTTCTCACATTCAAGACGTCACATTTAAGAAATTTAAAGATTTTACGGGAAAATGATATCCTAACATCAGAGTACAAAGTTAGCATAGAATGCAGATATATCACTTCATTGAAACAAAAAAAAAAACACATTTCAGATAATGAAGCACATCCTGCTTTTAGCTTAGACAAAGGCAAAGAAGTGATTGACCCCATTTTGCAACTACATACTGCCCTCTGTTGGCTTGTCCAGCAGTAGCTCACATATTTCAGAGCCACTCCTTTGGGTTGATTTTATTACTGTAGCCATCGTTACCATTATGCTCAGAATATGTGCTTTCTCTGGCTACTTGACAGGAAAATCGTATTAAAATCTGCTGCTTTTTGTGTTATATGTTAAATGTATATAATTTGTGTATTATTTATTAATTTTACTTTTATTCAGTGTATTTTGCATTTAAATTCTTGGACAAATCATGCGATCCAATCAACAATCAAGTCAAATGTGAAAATCATGGGTCCCACTTTATATTAAGTGGCTTTAAGTACTATGTACTTACATTTAAAAATAAGTACAATGTACTTATTGTGCTCATGTTTTATTGTAAATCACTTTTGGTGCTATTGAGGTGGGATACGGGTAAGGTTAGGGACAGGTGTGGTGGTATGGGTAGGTTTATGGGTAAGGAATGGGTCAGCTGTGTAATTACAGATGTAATTACATAAATTAATTACGGCTGTAAGTACATGCTGGTATTTTTTAAATATAAGTACAATGTAAAAACATGTATGTACACAATAAGTCCATTGTATCAAATTATTAATTTCAATGTAAGTACATGGTACTTAAAGCCACTTAATATAAAGTGGGACCGGTTCATTAGTTAACATTAGTTAATGTATTTACTAACATGTACTAACCATGAGCAATACATTTGTTACTGCATTTGTTCATCTTTGTTAATGTTAGTTCATGAAAACACAGCTGTTCATTGTTTGTTCATGTTAGTTCACGGTGCATTAACTAATGTTAACAAGATTTGAATCAAGTATTAGTAAATGTTGCAAATAACATTAACAAAGATTAACAAATGCTGTATATGTGCTATTCATTATTAGTTCATATTAACTAATGTAGTTAACTAATGTTAACTAACGAACCTTATTGTAAAGTGTTACCGATGCATTCATAACACACCAGAACCTTAGATTGACTATTCCTCAGCAATTGTGCATTGCATACTGGTGCTGTGTTTCACACTTTCACACTCTTTACAACAGAAAAGGGTCAAGATATCAGTTAGTACATCAAATACACCTCTACTATCAATAATCACTCTTTTTCATGTATCGGTGGCAAGCTGAATTAAAGGATTAATGTATCTATCAAGGGAGTATAAAGCTGCTCAATCTCAACCTTTACTCTCATAAAACATTACGCATCCAGCCATGAATCTCAGCTGAATGTGCTTCGCAAACAGGCCTCTCCTGAGCGTTTCCTAGTTCACTCGCTCTCGTTTAAGGAAACGTAAATCTTTTATATGTATATATTCTCATTTAACTGAGAATATACATTGTATCAGTATCTATTTTTTAAAAACTACATTTTCCAACTTCAGCGTTTATTGTGCTGCAAGAGAAAGTGGATCGCCTGGAAATCGCGCCTGTATTCACAGCTACAGCATTCTCCTCCAATAGTGCAGTTTTGCGCATCCTGGACTAAAAGTAGACAACGGATAAAATTTAAATGGTGTCAGCAGTTTAATAATATGCAGTACAGTATAAGGGTTCGCCAAGACGGCTGAACCTGCCAGTGGCCCGAGATGCAAAACATACACCCACGCACCAGCGGATCACAGGATTGGCCCATCCTGTCAGATTGGAAGCAGTCAGAAGGGAGCGGCACTCTTTCACTCCACCCCTCCCCCTCACAAATATGCTAATTAGCTACTCTCTCATGCTAATTATTTGCAAGTTATGAGTGCTCAGAGTGGCATCTGCTAAGACCGGTCTGGTTCAAGCATGTGCGCAAGTCGTTCTGGGTTGATATAATGTAGTTAAGTAGATATTTTTTTTTTAAAATACTCATCAGGACATTTTGATGTAGCCGTGATTAGCATTTATGCATGCAAAACGCACCATTAAATGGAAGTTCACACATTCAGATCTCATATTCTAAACGTTTGAATTATATCTGATCCAGTAATGCTGAACTGAGTGGCTTTTCAGCAAATAGGACCTCCAAATCTTGCAAATCCCTCATCTCAATATTGTGTCTGTCGCTAGCATCAGACAGTGACATTCACAACAGTACACCTCCACATCATTTACATGTATGGTCTCACAGGCCATTTGATTTGCAGTGGAGAAGGCCAACTCCAGCTCTTGATTGCACGTCCACTCCAGCATGAGATACACACACGGTGGTGAGTGCATTTTTTACGCGTGTATATGTGCAAGTGTGTCTATGTGTGTGTTGGACCATGGCTGACGGGATGTTTACACATTCTCATTACATTGGGATCATGTTGCTTTTGGCCCCGAGTGGCAGGCTGCGGTTCCTCACACATACTCAGACACTATATTCTATAATCAACAACTCATGGAGTGTTTGATTATGACAATGTCATTCAATAAAACACACAAAAGCCCTTTTTTTGGAAAATGATTATCAAATCATTCTTTTAACTACTATCTGCCAGACGCAATTTTACAAACAACGCTGAAACAAGTCGATCTCTTCTTTCAAAATGCGTTGCGCAAGGCAAGTATCAAACGCTGCGCCGATACACACTCGCGTTTAGGAGTCGGGACATGACGGAATATTCACTTGCACAATCGGGCCAGCAGTGTATTGTTTATATAAGTTTAACATTTGCACGTCTTTTTAAGTCTTACCAGTTTAAACATTCAAGAAATTCCAAACTAATCAGTGCTAGCACGCTCTCTGAGATGATTTTCTATGCGCACATTCATAGAAAATCTGCCTCAAAAACAGCAGGCCATGTAACAAAAGTTATTTTTCGTGGATTATATTGCTTTAACACGCAAAATTGTGTCAATTTCGGTCTTTGTGAGTATACTCTAAACATAGTCGGTTTAATATTTAATTTGCATAAAACGTACCCGGTTACTGACGTAACCTCGGTTCTAGAAGAGGGAAGTTTCAGGGGTGCGAGAGCCGCGTCTATGCACATTGTAAATTGAACGGTAGGACTATTGATATGCCTGGCTCTCGAAGGCGAATCTCAAGAACTGCCTGTGACGTGACGCTGTTTGTATCTGAAAATAAGTGTCCTTCAGATCTATTAACATACTGGCTTGTTTACTGGAAAATACACTGGAACAGCCGCACTGAACAAGCGAAAAGACTACATTTTATCTGCTGCGAAAGCCAGGATCGAACACGAGTCGTCTCGCGTGAAGTCGTCTCGACAAGTCGTTCAGCCAGCTAAACTTTTACTACCCTGTTAGAAAAAAAATATGTAGTTGGATAGTTTCATGTGGTTCTTCTCCCTCGCTGTATTATGAGTTTGCTATGTGAGGAGAAATGAGCTGGTTACGTTCGTCAGACTACTATTGTTATATTATATATTAAGACCCTTGGCGCTTTGTATACTTTATCCATGATGTGGTTTATAATGGACTGTGGTACATAAACTTAGCTTACTCTGGCTATTCTCTACTGTCTCAGACGACGATATGTTTGTCCCGTTTTAGCAACCCTAAATTTAGCAGCCCTTAGTGAACTCGCAACTGAACCACTACATGCCGCTAAAATCTACACACTGCACCTTTAAATCTTGTGACTGGGATTTCATTTGTAAAGCTTTACAGAACCAAATGAATAAGGCATTGTACAATAAATGTTTAACAGGTGATCATTAGCACTCATTAGTTACTGGGAATCTCAACGGAAACCACTAACATGTAATACTTCAACATTTTCCAAAGATACGTAACTGAACTAATAGTAAAATTTTACCAATTACATTTGTAATGAATATTATCTTTCACTGACAATGATTCAGGCATGTACAAAAGTATATGACAAGACTAAATTACCTTTTTTGACCAGTATTGTCTTGTAAAATTACTCTAATGCACAGCCTCTCGTGGTTAATTCTTTTATTTATTAGTGTAATTGCAATGTAAATTGAGTTTACAATGTAATCTGTCACCACATTGATGCATATAATAGTACTGTCAATATGCCAAAGCTGTATAGCACTTGACTGTGATGAAGCAGCTGAACCAAACAGCTCTGCCCGTCTCCAGCTCGCTGCCATACGTCTGCCCCTGCTACCCACTGGC